GTATGGTTACTGACAGCCTGGTTATAATGCTGTATGGTTACTGGCAGCCTGGTTATAATGCTGTATGGTTACTGACAGCCTGGTTATAATGCTGTATGGTTACTGGCAGCCTGGTTATAATGCTGTATGGTTACTGGCAGCCTGGTTATAATGCTGTATGGTTACTGGCAGGCTGGTTATAATGCTGTATGGTTACTGGCAGCCTGGTTATAATGCTGTATGGTTACTGGCAGCCTGGTTATAATGCTGTATGGTTACTGGCAGCCTGGTTATAATGCTGTATGGTTACTGGCAGCCTGGTTATAATGCTGTATGGTTACTGGCAGCCTGGTTATAATGCTGTATGGTTACTGGCAGCCTGGTTATAATGCTGTATGGTTACCGGCAGCCTGGTTATACGTTGTGTGGTTACTACCTGGTTATAATGCTGTATGGTTACTGGCTATTGGTTATAATGCTGTATGGTTACTGACAGCCTGGTTATAATGCTGTATGGTTACTGGCAGGCTGGTTATACGCTGTATGGTTACTGGCAGCCTGTTATATCACGCTGTATGTATTACTGACAGCCTGGTTATGCTGTATGGTTACCGCAGCCTGGTTATAATGCTGTATGGTTACCGATGGCCTGGTTATAATGCTGTATGGACAGCCTGGTTAGTAATGTGCTGTAGCGGTTACCGCAGCCTGGTTATAATGCTGTATGGTTACTGGCAGCCTGGTTATAATGCTGTATGGTTACCGGCAGCCTGGTTATAATGCTGTATGGTTACCGACAGCCTGGTTATAATGCTGTATGGTTACTGGCAGGCTGGTTATAATGCTGTATGGTTACTGACAGCCTGGTTATAATGCTGTATGGTTACTGGCAGGCTGGTTATAATGCTGTATGGTTACCGGCAGCCTGGTTATAATGCTGTATGGTTACCGACAGCCTGGTTATAATGCTGTATGGTTACCGACAGCCTGGTTATAATGCTGTATGGTTACCGACAGCCTGGTTATAATGCTGTATGGTTACTGGCAGCCTGGTTATAATGCTGTATGGTTACTGGCAGCCTGGTTATACTGCTGTATGGTTACTGGCAGCCTGGTTATAATGCTGTATGGTTACTGGCAGGCTGGTTATAATGCTGTATGGTTACTGGCAGGCTGGTTATAATGCTGTATGGTTACTGGCAGCCTGGTTATAATGCTGTATGGTTACTGGCAGGCTGGCTGGAGGCACAGGGCAGACATGCAGTGATGGACATTCTCACCCTTTTCCTTCTGGCTGCGGCTGCTTGATCTTCTTCCTCCTCTTCTTCTTTTTGGACGCTTCATCCCCTCCCAGGCTGTCTCCGGGCTCCAGGTACCGTTTCAGGTATTCAGCTTTGGACAGAGGTTGCACTTTCCTCGCGAAGGCCGCCATCTTGCCTGGGGCGGAAGTCGCCATCTTACCGGGGGCGGAAGTCGCCATCTTTCCCGGGGCGGAAGGAGGTCATGCTACTACTTCCGGTCCTGAGAAAGCATGGCTGAGATGTACATGTGCTGTTCACCCTGATACCCAGCATTGAAGTGGTTGTGGTGGCCCACGTCTTGCTGTGCCTCATGGGAATCGTAGTCCACAACAGCTGGAGGAGATATGCCATATATAGAATATTCAGATATTAATAGTTTGGAATTTTACAAATAATATATATCTCTCTAAATGTTCATCAATGTAAAAGGGGTTTTAGTTATTTATTTTAAATATTTAGTACAAGGTGAAAGGATTTGAGAAAATTTTAAAGTGGCTACAAAAATGATTATTTGATAAACACAAAAGTGGTTTTGTTTATTAAATAACGAATTGTAGCTGTTACTAAATATCTGATGTCCAGATTGTTTCCTAACCAGCTATTTGGAATTCAGTGTATTACAATTTGGGACTCAGTCACTAAATAGTGAATTGGGGTGAATTTAAACCCACATTGCAAAACTGAGACCAGAAATAGCAGTTGGAAAAGTTTCACAACTCGTCTAAAGTCAGGACTTCTTGAAATTTGATTTTCAATTCACTACAATTCAGTGTTTGGTCAGTACACCCCAGTGAATTATGGCAAACTAAAAATCAAATTACAATGATTGTGCAGTGACTGAAGCAGAGATGGAGAATTGTTCCACATTTTGCCTAAATGTAAATATGCTCTTAAAGGGACACCAGTCACCAGAACAACTGCAGCTTAAAGTTGTTGTTCTGGTTTCTATAGCCTGTCCGAGCAAGCTAAGCAATGTAAACACTGCCTTTTCAGAGAAAAGCCAGTGTTTACATTACTGCCTAGTAACGCCCCTAGGTGCAGTCACCAGGTGGCCATTAGAGGTGCTTCCTGGGTCAGTGCAGCACAGTGCATGGAGACGCTCAATGTTCTTCATAGTCATTCTTTGATTCAACTTGTCTCTAGGAGATGCTGATTGGCACAGCCGCACATGCACAACAGCCTCCCAATGCTTACCTATGAGAAAGCATTGGATTTGTAGAGGTCATCAAATATTATTACACATATTAGTTCAGTGGCCTATGCAGTAAAATGTGTATCAACACTAGGCGGGCTGGGATCTGAAGTCCACTAACCTCAACGTAAAGGACCACTATAGTGCCAGGAAAACATACTCGTTTTCCTGGCACTATAGTGCCCTGAGGGTGCCCCCACCCTCAGGGTCCCCCTCCCGCCCGGCTCTGGAAGGGGGAAAGGGGTAAAAACCTACCTTTTTCCAGCGCTGGGCGGGGAGCTATCCTCCTTCTCTCCTCCCAGTCGGCTGGCTGCGCGCGCATTCAGCCGGTCACATAGGAAAGCATTCATAATGCTTTCCTATGGTCGCTGGCGTGCTCTCACTGTGAAAATCATTGACAGCCGCTAGAGGAAATAGGGGAAGGCTTAACCCATTCTCTGAAACTATGTTTATGAAAAAATGGGTTAACCCTAGCTGGACTTGGCACCCAGACCACTTCATTAAGCTGAAGTGGTCTGGGTGCCTAGAGTGGTCCTTTAAACAGCATCCACTAACACACTATGACCAAAGTAGAGGCTATAATTAAAAAAAAAAATTGGGGTGAAGCTGGAGGATTGTCTGACAGTACTGGATTTTCTGTCCACAAGGAGAAGCTTGTAGTATGGCGGAGAAAGGTTGGAGGGATTCCCTCGGCATGCATCAGTCTTGCCAGGCCGAGGGCCATTGGGGGAAAGACCCCAGTACACCATCCACACGCAGAAAGCACCCAGAAGACAACCCACTTGACCGCTCTCTAAGGCCTGCCGCAGTATCCTGCAATGGAAGGGCTTTGACTCGATCAGCAACCATGTTCGTGGTCAAGTGGTGTTAATTCTGGGACAAGTCTGGGGCCGGAGGAATGCGTTACCCAGGTATCGCTGTGCAGCCCTCATAGATGGACATTGCAAGTACCCACAAGCAGTGCCAAGCCACAGAGTCGTTTAACAGTCCATCTCACTAAAAGGATGGCTCCAGCCACAACGATCACCCAACTCCAAGAACACAAAAGTGTGTTTGTAAAGCATGTCACCATTAGCTTCTCAAGTCTTCTTCTAGCTACACTGTTTTCATTTATTATAGTGCCATTATCTTTTGCTCTCATTGGATTGGCCTCCTTAATACACATCTAGCCCCAGTGGCATATATTTCCACTCCTGTCCAGGACGTTTCAATTACACCCACGTGGGGCTATCTAAATGGCCAATCAACATCAAGGCCATAATACGTCATTAATGACGTTTGAATAGCACCCACGTGGGAATATTGTAGGAGGAGTATACTGCTTTTGACGTCAATCGATTGATGGCTTCCATCTCCAATTGAGGTCTCTCTTTTAATAAACGGTTAAGATGAATATCCATTATTAGTATCGGCTGATAATATACCGTAACAAAGTACGAAAAAGAAGTGAAATCCCACTGTCGGAAGCCATCCTGGCTTATTGGATTCACCGAACAGTTCATTTAATCACTAAAGATACCACATACACAGAAACTACATCAACAGATAGCTATTGAATAATATAAATAACCAGAATTTATTAAATTATAAAAATCATATAAAAAGGAGAGATATGGGATATATATATATATATATATATGTTTATAGAGGCATAATTAATTCACTTTATAAAGGAAAATGTCTGCCAAACAATAGCTCTACATATTTATGAGCTTGGCATGTTGTTTATATTGAGACATATATGCCTAACTTACTATGCCTAGTTTAAGTTCCAACTACAATTAGACATGATGGTTTAGCCTTTTATTTTTTCGTTCTATTTTAATTTCAAATGAGGCGACTAACTGTCCTGTGATATACAAATGTTTACGTGTGTGTTTTAAATCTAAGCCCTAAAAAAAAAAAAAATTAGGAAGGGAAGTGTATATTAAAAATATATTCTGGTTCGCTTGGATGTTGTCAACAAAACAAGTTATGTCACATGTCCGGTTTACATTGAATATTAAAGCAATTAACAAGATCACTTTAAAAAAAAAAAAAAAAAAAAATTATTACCTAGTGCCTCTTCATCATCTTTAGTCCTGAAAGGAATGTATTGAAAATACAGAGTAACAACGACACTGTAGAACATGTCAGTGATGAACTGAAAAAGTCACTTGAGGAGATAAGTTCTTGAAATAAAGGGCGAAAAATGCTTCTGACCAGATTCTTCAATCTTTCATTATGAATTTTAGTGTCCACCTATCATTGCAACATGGATAGTTGTTTCATATTTAATTAATAATTGGCACACTTCTCCATATAACATTAGAAGAGTTCGCATCCAGCTTATAACTTTTCTTTTTCCAAGTCACAAAATCTTGCAGTTTCGTAAATAGCCCCTAAATCCCTAGAATTTGCTCTTTATAGATTCCATATCCTCTAGCAAAGGTCACATATACTGGGACAGCGATTGGAGGAGGAGAGTCTGTATTGGTGACAGACTACCACAAAATGCATGAATGTTTCAAGGAGTCATATAGGAAACCTTTTTGTATTTTATTTGAAAAACAGTTTATTGATCAGAGAAAAAAAAACACAAATAATGAATACCAGTCCTAACAAACAGATTGCTTTAAGCTTCAATTTTTGTTTCTTCTATTGACAGGACACTTTAAACCCTGCTTTTATTACACTGGTAGCTCCTGCAAGCAGAACCTGTCTACCACCAATATATTATTCAAGCACATCTTACTTTTGTTTTATTGTCTAGGGGCATGATTAGATGCAGACAGTAAAGAGTCCTATTACAATAGCAGACTGACTACATACAGCAAACCAAGGTTTTTAAGCATTCTACTGCTTTATTATATAAAATACATAGGTTTTAAGTTATACTACCACCAGTCATTAGTGTGGGCCTTGCACCGGCCACAAAATACCTGGACCAAAAAAAAAAAAAAAAAAACAACACTTTTTGGTTCTGATCTTGCTTAGTCTAGTATTGCCAAAGAAAGGGCAAACAGAAGGTAAGAAAATATAAGAATTGTTGGGGGGGCTCTGCCTACAGGCACCCACAATTCCAAAAGTGCAATCCACAAATTCTAGATGCACAGCCTTATAAACTAGGTATTACAGGTCAGTGAGTTAGGTGGACATAAGCAGCCAACCGCATTATCTTACAGATGGCACATTTGTGGCCACATTCTAAAATGAAATGAATTATAGAATTATATACATTAAATAGCGCTTTGAAAGTAAAGTGTAGATCAAACTGTATTATTTAGAAAACTTCTACCATGTGGCTTTTGCATGGCCGTTAAACTTTAATGATCTGGGTATAACATGCTAAATTTGTGTCTACATAGTTACAATCTTTCTTAATTTACACTGCAGCATAAATCCTTCAAAATAGGATTTTAGATTCCTAAAATGCATTGCTAATGATAATACATTGCTTTCTAAAATGAACACTAAGAAAGGCATTCACATTAACTTAAATTTGGCTCATACTGGCCTTAAATAAAGAAACATTGGCCCCAATCTCTAGGATCTGTGATTTTACAGAGAATATCTAGAGTGAAGCAAGCAGATATATTTTGAATTGAAATTATTCCCCCCCCCCCCAAAAAAAATATTTTTGATGTTTTTTTCCCTAATTAGCCAAAGACCAGTTTTCACACTAGATTGCCATATCCCCTGAAATGCAGGTCTATAAATCATTCTTGTGTGATGAGAGGGCAATCTCTCTATTCAATATATCTTAACTAATTTGTACAAAGGGGATAAGGCATTAACGTCTGAGGATCAATAACAGAAATTGCTGTCCTAAATAAATCCAGCCCGCACATTCAATAGGCAGCGTGATTAGCATGAATAGAAACTTAGAGGCTGATAAATACAAGTCTGTTGATGGCCAACAAGTAAAGCTCTTTATACCATGATTGCCCCTGCTTTCTCCTATTTGGAGACCCACAATACCAGAGGAGTAGGGAATTAGACTTAACACAACATTTTAGCAGATTGTAGCTGCTAGGAATTGTTTCTCGGCTATATGTTCCCATATAATGTTACATTTGAAAAATTCACACTAAAATGTTATCCTGTGTTCCAATTAGACTCTTCCAACCCATATTCTGATAACCTGCAAGCACTACTCGCTAGGAAAACCACGTGAATGCTCAGTCTGTATTATATTAAGGAGTAAGGAGTCCACCAGCATGTCTGGTTAACAGCCATTCTCTTCATATCCCTCGGTTTTCATGTCATTAATTCCCAGATCTTCATTCTGTTCAAATGTCCGCTCGTACCTTTCTATCGTCATTTCTGGGTCTTGTTCTGGTGCATAAACATTCTGCAGGGAGAGAGCGAGTCAGGGTCATCATTAGGAATAGGAATGAAAAAAAAAAAAAAGAGAATGCCATTACAGAACAATAAAAAAAGTCCACCAAGCTTTTAAAAAAAATTTAAATGCCTGCACATTCTAGGTCAAAAAATATATTTAACAAATCAATTTATTATTTCTTCAACAAATTTAAAGCACTATTATCACTTTTTTTATTTTATATAACATATAGGTTGTAATAGATGTAAGACAGACTAGGGACTACTTTGCCTTACAAGACAGTTCGGGTGACGAGGGAAAGGACAGAGCTTCTCACAGCTTCCATTGCCATTTTATACATCTCACTGCACATTCAATAGATTCTCTGTGGAGGATCTCGTGGTGTCACAGTACCTTCCACAGCCAGTTTGTACTCTCACAGACGATATGGTACGCCCATGACATGGATCCAGGCAGATGAAACAGAATGCTAACCGCATCTCTGCCCCAGAGTAGGTCCATGTAAATTTATAATATACACACACACACAAAATTTCCACTCACAACTGGCGAGTGAAAATTTTGCTAAAAACCTCAGAATGGTTATATTCGGGAGAGCTGTTGGAACTCCACAATTAAAAGAGGTTTGTTTGTTACCTGGAGGTAGCTGTTGCCAGCAGGATCATCAAGAATTAAATGAGCTTTTAACTGTCCTTCGAGGATCTGCAGCAAGACAAAGGAAGAATGTAATACAGAATGCTGCACATACTTCATATAAGAAGCAGAGGCATGAATCACACATTTCATTTTTAGAACATCATTCTATAAAAGAAAATAGTATCCTTATCTTATACAGAATTCTTCATGGGAAAAGTATTTACTTAGCCAATCAATACCATCCAAATCTGGACACAATTGACACTACTAATATAGAAGTATAACTTGCGCGTTAGCAGCCTAATGAGCGCAAGTCCAAGTCAGGGGCACCCGGGAGACCCTTGGATGTGTCAAAACGCTCAAAAATAGTTTGACACAGACCATGGGATGCCACCAGGAGTCTCCGAACACCATAACCACTACCACAGACTTTAGTGGTTACAGTGCTTAGAGTGTCCATCAATGGAAGAATATGCTAAATCTAACAGAAGAGAGGCAAGACTACTCGCAAATACCTGGAAAAAAAAGCAGCTTATTTATTTCCATGTATTCTTTTGAGAGTCATTCTAATGGGACAAAGATTTGAAGTAAAACTATATACATTTTTCCATCGAGCACAGACCTCCTTACTAGTACACAAATTTACTCTACCAAGCTCATACACACTACGTACCTCGTCAATCTTCTTGCCAAATTCCTGACGTTTTACTTTTCTTTCACATGTGGAGCTGTCACCAAGAGTGAAAGGATTTTTATCTACCACCTTTAAGGAGAGAAAAACGGCACATCAATATTTCCTTCATTTAATATTTCATCTGGAAACGCCTTCTATTTTTGATCATTCTCTTTTGTTTGAAATATTTTCTATGTGATCTATTACTCAAGACATTCACACTGGATTAAAAATTCGATTTTAATATACAGGATAAAATTACCCCTATTTTAATTCACTTTAAAGATAAAAAGAAATAAATGAAAAGTAACTCATTTAGAATTTTACTTTATTCACTAATTTTTATTAAGGATGCAAGCAGCTGCGGACAGAGCCCTCCCACACCCAGAGGAAACTCGTCCTATAAACTTCTGCCCAACTAGTGTTTATTGCCCATGTGATTTATCTCCAATGTCCATTCATCACTTAGAATGAGGGCAACAGCTCTGTAAATTGATCGCAGCCACACCAAGGTTGTGGTCATCTGACAGACAGCCCACTCATAGTTTAGTAAATACATCTATGTAAAACGCTTTGCAAAGCCATGGTAGTCATACACAAAGGACTCTCCAGGGAGAGAGCAATCAGCAAAAATTGGGCACGTAGATGTCACTTGCAAAACTTGAATAAAACTGATATAGCCAGCCTTGAAATCTGGCTAGCTCAGTGGTTCCCAAAACTTTTTAGGTTCAAAGCGCCCTTAATATTTCAATATTTTTCCAAGGCGCTCGAAGTCAAAAATTTCTAGGTTTTATATCTGTACAGCGCTGCAGTATATACTGTAACAATCCAGGCACAATAACTACACGCCGTAGTGATTATGGTGCCAGGAGTGCTGTGGTGCCCTACCATGGTAAGTAATCAAACTGTTTAAGAACAGTTTGACAACTTACCTGTGGTCTGCCAGGATAGGGCTATAGTAAGAGATAGGGGCTGTAGTAAGAGATAGGGGCAGTGGTGTGTGGGGCGCAGTGTGGGGTTAAGTGTGTGTGAGGGGTACAGTACGTGTGTATAGTGAGCAGTGTGTGTGTGAAGGTATGGGGGAAGAATTATTGTGTCTCTGTGGGGTGGGAGGGTAAATTAATTTTAATTAAAAAAATAATAATTTTGATATCCCCCTCCTTGCTTACCTTTGCCTGGGAGGTCCAGTGGAGAAGCCCTGGAGGTCAAAGTGGTGAGAGAACTGTAGCAGCCTCAGGAGCTGCTAGAGTTCACTGTCGCGAAATTCTGAGCATTGCCATGGTAACAGCGGCAATGCTCAGAGCTTGCGAGAGAGAACCCAGTGGAGCTGCAGGTTAGAGCTCCCACTGGTCCCACCTCCCTCTCTCCCCTGCCGGCTGCAGCATTACACTGCTAGTGGGCCAAAGAGGGAGATCTTGGATCTCCCCTCCGGTCCTGCAGAGCCGACAGGGGAGAGGGAGGCACGGAAAATATCCTGCAGCGCCCCTGTGCGTCCGTTGCGGCGTCCCAGTTTGGGAACCACTGGGCTAGCTGATTGAAAAATATCAAATATATCTGATATAGTAACATTTCAATATTAAACAACGCACAGACCAGGTTCTGGCTAAAGTGGGTTTGGTGCTTAGCATTTAAGGGGTTTATGCATAAAACTGTAGCATTTTGAAATTCAAATGGCTAAATTAGTCAAGTTGTAACAGATTTTTTTTTTTTTACCAGATTAGCTACTTTTTTCTACATTTTGCTATTGAGTTTCTAAATTTGCTACATTTAATGCAGGAGTTTAATAATTGCCATTTTATTTTTTGATGAAAGGTACCAAACTAAGAAGATAGGAAATTTGACTCCTCATCCAGAGGAGATACACAGAAAGGCATCTCTTTATTTCAAACTTTCTCCCTAATAAAAACTATTCAATCTTATCAAATCAATTCCGCAATATACAAAGAGCAGGCACGATTATTAAAAAGTATTTACATGTAAAAAAAAATCAGTTTACACAAAGTGAAAAGGTATGATAAAGTTGAAGGAATGTTAAAAAATAGTCAAAAAAAGTATTTCAAACAACAACATTAATGGGAGGCAGAAATAAAACATAAAAACATTAAAATATAAATACAAAATAAAATACTGACTTACCAAGTCTTTAATATCTTTAAGGAGACCCTCCAAAGTAGTGAACTTCCCTCCCAAAGCTCCCATTCCCATCTCAAATTCTAGTTCTGGAATGTTAACGTTGCAAGTCTCAGACTGTTGGATACAAAGAACACAGTATGAAAATCAGTGCAAACTCCACATCATCGATCATGCTTTTAACACACTACGTGAAATAGTCTCATTTAGTCTGAGGTCCAAATGTCACTTTCAACATTGGAAATTCGAAGATTAAAGCAGGACTACTTTAAAAAAAAATAAAATAAATTAAGATAGACGGGTCAATTTCTGTCAACTGTGTATCGTTTAAAAAAAAAAAAACACACACACACACACACAATATATGACAGCTTTGCCGCCAACAATAACACTCACTCACTTTTAGAATGTCCCGAGAAAGGTCAGATGGGTCTGTTATAAGCAATGTGATTTTAGTGCCAAGAGGTTCAACAGCACCACCTGATTTCACCTGCAAAAGAACACAAATACTGTGTTAAAAGTCACTTATTTTCGAAATAGAATCATGTCCATTGCTCACCTGTGGGTGTATGATTTAGCAAGCAATCATATTCAGTAACATTTTAGCCTCTAAAGAGATAGCAGTGCAGAAAAGAAAAAACAGCAACACAGTGCTTTGTCTTAACAAATACTCCGTCAGTACCGTTTAGGGCTGCTCCCCCAAGAGCTTGTGCTGCAGGAATGTGACATCACAGCCTGAGCCACCAGCAGTTGAGGTCTTGGGGTCCCAAGGATACATTAAGCTGCAGTCTGCTTTCCTCTATCCAGTCGCTGAATTTGCTCGTAGCCACAAGTTAAGTGGCTATTTTCACTATGCCCTGTTGAGAGAGGGCTAGCGAATATTTTGAGCCCTGGTCTAGAATCCCAAAATATTTATTTTCCCACACATTTCGCCAATCATTAAGGTTTTTTATTAATATACCATTGAGCATAAGTAAGTTGTATCTCAGATAAGTCCTCCCCAATAAATATTGGGCTAGATAAATGTTAAAGGAACACTATAGCGTTAGGAATACAAATGTGTTCCAACTCTATATTGCCTGAGTCACCGTTTAGGTGATCAGGCCCCCCCGTTTGCAGGGTTAAAAAGGTGATTTTACTTTCCTCCCTCACAGCGCTGGTCTACAGCATTACACTGCCTTTTTGGCTGAGATCATTGAGAACAATTATCTTGGCCAATCTAATGCTAGGAAAAGCATAGGAAGGCATACGGAGGCTATTGCGCAAAACGTCACACTGCAACATTTGATAGAGTGGTGTATTACTCCATTCATTCTGCAGAAGCACCTTTATTGCCAATAGAGATAAAGAACAAAAATGCAAGCCGCAAATAATTCTACAGGACACAAAGGCGTATTCACACGGATTAATGTGGACCGTCTACTTTTATGTTTAAGACAAGAGCATCCAGCTTTCTTGAAACCACCAATAAAATGTAACTTCTATACCTCAAAATATATTGCATGAAGCACAGCAAAAACCATACCAGTTGATAACATGCACATATCTGAGTGAGCCACGCCGTGTACGCCTACAGACACTCACCTCGTTTGTTCGATGGCCGCAGCAGTCACAGTTTGTTGCCATAATGATGACTTCCTTGAAGTGTGGAATTTCTGAGGGTCAGTCAAGGAAAGTGGATTGATTGCCTACGAGACAGCTCAATGCTACTGCAACACACAACACCCAAAATACAGAAACATCTCCCTCATCCACCGGATATAATGGGTTACCAAATCTATTCATCGGCAGTTACAGTTACTGCTCCATCACTTTCTCTACATACCAGTTTTTACTGAAACACTGTCGTTACAATATTCAATACTACAGTTCATTTGGCTTTCCTGTGAAACAAGGCAGCAAAAAAAATTCCCAGGCACTCAAAGTGTGAAAGCCACAGGCAGATTTATTGCAACAAAATAGACAGCAACGTTTCGACCTACCAAGAGGTCTTTTTTAAGCTTGAAAAAGACCTCTTGGTAGGTCGAAACATTGTGGTCTATTTTGTTGCAATAAATCTGCCTGCGGCTTTCACACTTTGAGTGCCAAGGAATCTTTTTTGCTGCCTTGAAGTGTTGGGATTGTTGGTCCTGTTCCGGAGCACCTGTGGCCACTGGGAGTGAGTGCGGTTTCCTGTGAAACAAGACATTTGACTCACTGTAAATCATTTTTTGTTATTATCGGTGGTAGATTCAGGTTCTACTTGTGCTATGGCCACCACATAGGCAGAAAAAGTCAATGTCACCTGTGGATATATACAAAGCCACAACATAGTCATCCAACACTTTTGTCAAGCATTACAGGTTTCATAGGGAAATGTAACCTCGGTCTGAAACTAAAATTTGATTAGAACCTCCCCTACGCCCTGTAAATACCTTGTATCCATGCAACACCCTCAGTAGTAACAAGAAATAACTAGAAACACAAATCTCATGTAAAAATATCTTTAAAGGGACACTATAGTCACCAGAAGAACTACAGATTGTTGTATTTGTTTTGGTGAGTAGACTCATACCCTTCATGCATTTTGCAGTAAACACACTCTTTTCAGGGAAAATACAGTGTTTACATTACAGCCTAGGGATACCTCCACTTGCCACTCCTTATATGACTGCTAGATGTGCTTCCTGGGGCAGTGCTGCACAGTGTGACTGCATGCAGAGGATGGAGACACTGAATGTCGGACATTGTGATTGGCTCAGAGAATCACTTCTGATTATGTCATCCAAGCAGGCAGATCAGGGGCAGAGTCAGCAGCTGCAGACTTTACTAAAATTACGATTTTACTATATTTAGGGGGTGGGTTGTGTTCCTGACCCTATAGTGTTCCTTTAATATATATGTAAGGAAACATGTACTGATACAAAAACTAAGGAAAAAAATAAAATAAAACAATGCATCTTCGTCTCGTGGCCCCCCTTTTGAATTTCTTACCCCCATTAGTGTTGCATATCCACTCTCTTGAATGTCTTATCCATTTGGCCCCTTTGTGCCTTACACCCCCCTTTAGTGTGTCTCCTACAACCCCTCTTATGTATTTCTTACTTCCCCGCCAGCTCCTGTCAGTCTCTTTCTTCCCCCCAGCCCCTATCTATCTCTTTTTCTCCTATATAGACATAGATACAGGCAAAAATACGTACATGCACAAATAAACAGACACACAACCATACAAGAACACATACATAATTATTCAGGCACACAGTCACAAAATCAAACAGTCATACAATCTACACATACAGGTACATTGTCGTACAAACACAGACATACATTCAGACACATTCATACAGACACAGACAAAGAAACAGAGATAGGCATATAGAGATATACATACATAGTGATACAGAGACCTACATATGCAGACAGTCATACAGAGACATACAGACAAGGCATACAGAGACATACATACACAGACAAACAAAGAACCCTGCACACTGCACACTGAAACCATGTAAATGCTCCGGCCATCCACAGTGGTGGATGCTCCGTGTCAGGCGGACATCGCTGGATCCACCAGTAAAGTATTCAAAAGGAATAAACGCAGGCAACAGTCCAATAGTAAAGATGGTATATTTATTGATAGGTGAACCACCCCATAGAAAGTGTGATGTTTCAGCTCATGCAATAAGGTTCTGCTGAACCGAAACGTCGCACTTTCTATGGTGTGGTTCACCTATCAATAAATATACCATCCTTACTATTGGAGTGTTGCCTGCATTTATTCCTTTTGAATACACACACAGACAGTCATACAGAGACAGACACCAACAGACAGACACACTGGCACGTCAAAATATACACTTTTCTAGCCACTCTCCTGTTTCCTACTTTGTAGGTTCAGGAGGGTGGCTTACCTGGGATCCAGAGTGCTGCCTGATGTAGTTGGAGGAGCTAGTCCTGCCCAGCCCCCCTCCTCTCTGCCTTCTCCTGCTCTCTGCTGTAGTCTTCTTGGGAGGAAGTCCTCCCATGCTGATGAAAAGAGGGCTGGTGGTAGCTCCGGCCCTGCTGGGTGCCAGCCGCGCTGTGTGCTACAGAGGGAGCAGAGATATGACGCGTCCATATCCCCGCCCCCTCCACACAGTCCGCAGCACTGGAGGTTGGCGCTCGGCCACGCTACAAGAAGTGACCAGCAGGAGACGGGTGCTGTGCGCTTCCCTCCTGCTGGCCACCCGAATATTTGCGCTCTCTAAGGCGGCCGCCTGTGCCGCCTTATGGATGTGCCGGCCCTGCACAGGAGATGCATTCCCTTTTTCTGCCCACATAGTGTCCATAGCACTAATAGAATGAGCCTGAATGTACTGCAGATATACTTGAGGAAAATAAAGTATTTCGAATTTAATATTTTTAGTCACAGCTAGTATATATGGATTACTCATTTAACCACTTTAAGGACCACATAACTGTCTATTCCATCATGTCTATGCCATCATGCAGTGCCGGCTTTAATGCAAAGTGACGGCATAGGCTGTCATGCAGTAAACGTACCAGCAGGAGTGGAGTCCCTGAAGGTACGCTCTGTCAGCTGGGGCCAGAGATAATGGTTCTCCCTTTCATGCTGAAATCACACTGTAGAGTGCTCACAGAAACCTCTGTACTGTGTGAGTTGAGAAATCCCTCTGCTGATGTCGGTACTGAATCCCTTGAGAGGTGGGTTTAGGACTGGGATTATAGGTTAGAGTAAGGGTTGCATTGTGGGTTGGATTAAGGGTTTGCTTAGGTAACAGACTGGGGGTAGGATTAGGGGAAAAGGTACATGTGGGGTATCATTGTACTCGAGAACTATAGAAGAATACAAATCGTGGGATATGCGTAGTCTATGAAAATCCCCAAAATAAAACTTGTTAAAAAAATAAAATTACTAATTTGACATAGGTTTATGATAAATGTATTAAGTAAAAAGTGTCAAAGTTGTAGCGGAGCTGCAATATTAAATTCCACGATCTCCGCTGGTACAGAAGGTAATCCACAGTCAAGCGCTGAAAAGTAAGGCAATATCCCAAATCTCCCAGTAACCGGACGAAACACAGTTCTGGGAGTCAACTGAGGTTTTTATTCACAGCTCCAGTATTTATGCAAGTCCCCATGCAAGGGGTTTCCCTACTGACATAGCAGGGGACTACATTGGGGACTTAACATTCTGAGCATTTCTCCCATCAGGCACTGCTGGACGAGAGGGATACTCCCACTGGAATATACCGTTAAGTGGAGTATCCCTCCGTGCAGCAGAACCGGCATTTTACATTTAAATACATAACTTTAACAATATTCAGTTTATTTAAACGAATGGACGATCGGTAGATAGCTGGGGTCTGAGTGCACATTTCGTGGGAATACCGCTCAGATCCCAGCTAAAACAACCGAACGCCACACGAAATACAATTTGCCATTGAGCTCGCCTAAAAGTACCGAACACCGATGGGGAACCACAATAGGGAAAGACCGGAGCTCCTGAACGGCCTGGAAGTCCAGCGGTGTTCGCGCCGTCGAATAGCCGTTTTCAGTTCCACGCGCTCGACGACCAAACACCGCTGGTGAGACAAAGGATCCAATATGGCCGACCGCCGCGTGGTCGGTAGCCGAACGACGGCCACCTAGGAAAGTCTTTAATTACCGATTGCAACAATGTTGCAATCGGTTAATGAGCGCCACACGTCCCTCTATGTGTGGGCTATTAGGGGGTAGCTCATTCGGTTCACGAACAGCCAGTAAAGTCGCTGTTCGTGAAACGAAACACATGAATGCTAGCGGCTTTCGGCTGCTAGCATACGAATTCTATGCACATAACAATATCAACCAAGGTTACACATACATTACAGCGGTTATTACAGACAACCTTTTTATACATATAGTCCAGCATCCTTCAAGTGGCTAGGTTTGCCACAAAAGTGTTCTTAGTTACAAAGCCTGAGGGATAATACTCTACAAATATATACTTTTGTGTAGTGGTTATGGATTCTGTGACAGTTATAAAAGTTGTAATTTCAGCATTTCAAATTTTACAAAGTTTTAGCTTTAAAAATAATTCACTTCTTGCAGTATTTGTTTTATAACTTCTAAAAATGAAATAAAATGCCTAATATGTCTAGGATTGTAACAATCAAAAGTACTAGTTTCATATGAGGAAAGGGATTTAGGGGTGATTATTTCTGATGACTTAAAGGTAGGCAGACAATGTAATAGAGCAGCAGGAAATGCTAGCAGAATGCTTGGTTGTATAGGGAGAGGTATTAGCAGTAGAAAGAGGGAAGTGCTCATGCCATTGTACAGAACACTGGTGAGACCTCACTTGGAGTATTGTACACAGTACTGGAGACCGTATCTTCAGAAGGATATTGATACCTTAGAGAGGGTTCAGAGAAGGGCTACTAAACTGGTTCATGGATTGCGGGATAAAACTTACCAGGAAAGGTTAAAGGATCTTAACATGTATAGCTTGGAGGAAAGACGAGACAGGGGGGATATGATAGAAACATTTAAATATATAAAGGGAATCAACACAGTAAAGGAGGAGACTATATTTAAAAGAAGAAAAACTACCACAACAAGAGGACATAGTCTTAAATTAGAGGGACAAAGGTTTAAAAATAATATCAGGAAGTATTACTTTACTGAGAGGGTAGTGGATGCATGGAATAGCCTTCCAGCTGAAGTGGTAGAGGTTAACACAGTAAAGGAGTTTAAGCATGCGTGGGATAGGCATAAGGCTATCCTAACTATAAGATAAGACTAGGGACTAATGAAAGTATTTAGAAAATTGGGCAGACTAGATGGGCCGAATGGTTCTTATCTGCCGTCACATTCTATGTTTCTATGTTTCTAATCAGGACCAAGTAGTGATTCTTGTTTGACTTAGTTTTCTTTATTTGTACTTGGTGTGTAGAGATTACTAAATGTAAAACTAAGAAAAAAGTTAAAATATTTCCCCCCCTCCCCATTTTAACCTATTTAATATTGCATTGTGTATACATTTTTGGGATCAAAAGTACACACACACACAGGTTTACCCAGTTCATTTTGGTTTTCATTTTAGTGAAGGTACAGTTGCAGAACCATTTCCTCCATATAGTATTAACCTACCTGTGTTTATCAACTAACCAAATGATGATGTGTATCTGGCAGGAAAAGAGCTAAACATGTAGAAGGATACGCACTAGTTTCATGTTTGTTGCTGCAGGAGCGTTGCACTCTGGACAGTTCGTATGGAACTTCAACACCTGCCAGAAGATACAAAAAGTTAAACCAACAACAAGCCCTCCAAAAAAATAAAAAAAAACACACATGGTGTTAAAACTTAAGACATGCAGTGGAGTATACCAGCTGATATATATTGTATTTTCTGTCAGTTTCTACAACATTTGTGGCTGGAGGCCTACTCTGGTCTATTTCTCTGTATCTATGTTTGCCATTATGACTGTGTTATATTGAGAGAAAGTGTGTGAAAAAAAAAAAAGGTACCACTAGGGTCACCCCGACAGCTTGGTACAGTTCTCCTGTCATTCTAACCCAGGAATGTAGTTTTTGTAGAAACTAAAATACTTGCATTGCAGGGTTAAAACACACCTCTAGTAGCTGCCATATAGACAGCCACTACAGGTGCTTCCTCCTCCAGAACCAAGTGGACTCCACAAGACCTCATGAACCTGTCCTGTGGGATCAGCGCTATATAAAGCAAACTGCTATTTCTAGAGAGTATTAACCCACAAAAAAAAACAAAAAAAAACACACAAGACATTCGGTGTCATTAGGTCAGTCTATAATTTTAAAAAAGTCTTACATAGTAATGTTTGCCTATATTTAAACAGAGTGAAGAATATTAGTGTATATATTGTTAGAGTACCTCATCTTTCAGGTCTTCCGTGCCAACCCCAGGCTTTTCTAGGCCAACCCCAGGCTTCTCTGTGTCATATTCCTGAGAAATAGGTAAATCAAATCTTTAAATAGGCCACGTTTCTTAAGCTTTTTTGGTCAACAACTAAAATTATGTACATGGGAGCCTGGCGATATATTCTTCAACTGAAAATTTGGCTCACTGACCCATTCTGAAAGTGTTATACCATGAACAATACTAATAAAATAAATTTCGAAAAATGCTATGCTGTTATGTGCTTCCCAGTATCAAAGCCTCTTCACATTACAGACAAAGCTTATTGTGGGCAGTTATCTGTGGACCAAACATGATGTGCCTGTTCTGAAATTGGGGACCCAATTTTGGATCTAGAACCAGGAGTTAGGAAGAACTAAAATAGGCACTGCATGTTTAAATAGTGAGAAGTGCTATTCGCCAATAACACTGGTGGATAAGAGAGAAAAAAATAATAATCCTTTTTGAAATAATTTTGTTCAGAACTCCAAAGTATTAAATCAGCCATACAGCTTATTAACAATTGTTGTATGGCCAATATATGCAGCCATCAAGAGTCGTCTTAAATAACAGAGGTTTGTACAAACAGTTTAATTTTCTGTAAAAATTATAGAGATCTACACACCAGCTTTCATCCAACTCAGGCACTGGAACTTCTGCATTAGCAATCATGGCAAGCAGGAGACAAGATGTGGGAGCCGTGGGGACAACGGTTTTAGTCAAACTGCTCAAAAATAGTCTGACCACGAACAATGGCATAAAGCCGAATGGCACTGTATACACTCATTAACCCCGTAAGGACCAAACTTCTGGAATAAAAGGGAATCATGACATGTCATGTGTCCTTAAGGGGTTAACACGCTATATCAAACACTTCTTAAAGAACCACTCAAAAAAAATAGAGAAAGCATACTCTACATTCACAGTATATTGTGCTACATTTTTAAATAGTTATACATTTTTTGGAAAATTTAAATACATATTCATCAAAAGAGACCGTTTAATATGGTCTGCTGGGAGGAAAAAAAAAAAAAACACACGATCCAATAGTAACTTACTTCAACTCCTAACATTCTGTCCTGGTCTGTGCTCCTCTTGTAATGAGCAGTCGTGAGTGCATCATCCTTCTGAGGGGCAAATGGATTCTCCACAAAGCTGTTTCCAGATGGATCATCAAGAATCTGAACAAATTCAGCAAACAGTGACTCCAATTCACCAGACATTTAATGCACACAACTCATTAAGTTGGCTGTTCCAGGATGGTGTAAATAAACAAACCTGGAAATATTTCACTTATGCAAAAATGTATTTTCAGCAGACATTGATAATCTCTGCTATAGGTCAAGAAGATAACAAGGGCAGTCCCTCTGGATTTTGTCAAACTGTTTTGGCAAATACAGGAATCCCGGCACTCAAAGCCATTCCCCTCTGCACAGAAGGGTACATAGAAGAAGATATCCAGCTCAGGCCGGGAGGTTTAGATATGAAAATATAGAAAGGCATGATCTACACACCTAACAAGGTGAACAAAAAAGATCAAAATGTAAGGTGGAGCTTGCAATCAAGACTGAGTGGATGCCGTATTTTACAGCGCCTTCAGAAATATCACAAACCCATCTATTCCTCCAGTGGGGATTAAGTCTGTACTCGTCTCAGGATGTTCTGGCTAAGCTCACCATATCAGGGTGTGGGGGAGCAGCTTTGGGCAGGAGGAGTTTAAAAAGTACCAGAATCAAGACCAAGACAGTTACTTACAAAGGTGAACGGTGTCTCCCCGTTTTTCAAATGCTGAAGTTTTGCAATAAATCCATCAATTTTCTCTGCCACTTGCTCATTATCAGCCTGTAATATGAGAACATTCTCTCTTAGACAGATGGAACTATGAAAGGTGGGCATGCACAAACAGCACAGAATTAAGCACCTCTCAATATTAATAAACCAAAACCCTAAATTGTATTAACAGAAAGTGCTGCACTGAGCACAAATCACACACAACTTTTAAAATGTACTTAACAAATTGCACTATTTATGCACTTTTTGTTTATTAATCTTAAATAGAGTTTACAAATTCTTACCCTACGCAGGGGCTGTTCCTGCTGTAGACCCATGATGGTTCTCTCCAAGATTCCTTCAATTGTAGTGAGAGCTGGTAAGAAAAAGATAATGTGAGCGAGATGTTCATACGCCAACCACAAAATGCAACAAATAAGTGGTTTCTCTTGAACTGGATCTGTCATTTTCAAGGTCTTAGCATATTTTGTAAAGACACATAAAGGGGACATCTCCGCTTAGAGTTCGGTGGCCAGTTGACTCAGTAGAACGTAACCTGTCCCTTGCTGCTGCTTTTGCCATAATTTTCTTCCCGGGGACCTTCTTAAGCTCCTGGCGCATTATCTTCCAGGAGGCAAGTCACTGCTGTACATCCAGTTATGTGCAAGAGCATATAAACAAGGTCTATAGAGGATCCTGTAAGCTCCACTCAATATCAACTTTGGCTTATATGTTTGGATGATTTGGGAATTTTTGAATTTGTTAAATACACATTTTATTTATCTATCTACATACACACATACACTGATCACCCACAAGATTAATACTGTGTAGCCTCCACTCATGGTGCCAAAACCGATCTGATGCATCAAGGCATTGACTCCACAAGAACTCTGAATGTGTTCCGTGGTAGCTGACACAAAGACATTAGCAGCAGATCTTTTTAAGTCCTGCAAGTTGTGAAATGTCAAGTCAATAAAAATAAACTATTTGTTATGATCCTCAAACTACCTCTGAACAATTTTTTGCCGTGTGGCAGGATGCAATATCCTGCTGAAAGAGCCTACCATCAGGGAACACCCTTGCCATGAAAGAGTGTACATGGTCTGTAACAGTCTCTAGGTAGGTGGTATGTGTCAAAGTAACATCTACATGAAAGCCAGGACCCAAGATTTCCCAGCTGAACATTGACCAGAGCATAACACTGCCTTTGCAGGTCTGCCTTCTTTCCACAGTGCATCCTGATGCCATCTCTCTGGCAATCTATCTAGTCCAAAAGGAACATGTGATTCATCAGACCAGGCAACCTCAATCTATTGCTACATGGTCCAGTTCTGACACTCATGTCCCAATTGAAAGCGCTTGTGGCAGTGGACATGGGTCATAATGGGCACTCTGACCGGTCTGTGGCTTCGCAGCAATCTGCTGTGTACTGTGTGTTCTGACACTTCTCATGGCCAGCATTAAGTTTTTCATCAATTTGAGCTACAGTAGCTCTTCAGTGTGATGGGGCCAGATGAGCTAGCCTTCACTCCTCACGTGCATGACTGTGCCTTAGGCGACCGTGAGCCTGACACCAGTCCACCTTTCTTGCGTCACTTTTGGTAGGTACGGGAACGCTGCACAAAGCTTGCCGTTTTAGAGATGCTTTGACAGTCTAACCATCACTATTTGGCCCTTGTCAAAGTCACTCAAATCTTTTATCTTGACTATTTTTCTGCTTCCAATACATAAAATTCAAGAACTGACTGTTCAGTTGCTGCCCAGTATATTCCACGCCTTGACAGGTACCATTGTAACGCTATAATCAATGTTATTCACTTCACCTGTCAGTGATTTTAATGTTGTGGCTGATCATTGTATATTCTCCCTTTCTTCAACAAATGAGACAAAAATATAACTCGAGTCTCATTGGGAGATTTTTCTTATCCAAGTAAAAAAAATTAAATAATGTATTTGGTATTTAATAATAGCTCAGTCCAAATTCATCATTGACAACTTCACGTTAAAGGGACTCTCCAGTGCCAGTAAAACAACCCGTTTTCCTGGCACTGCAGGTCCCCCTCTCCCTCCCACCCCTGGTTGCTGAAGGGGTTAAAACCCCTTCAGTGACTTACCAGAGGCAGCGACGATGTCCCTCGTCGCTGCTTCTTCCTCCGCCCACGCTCCTGCCAGTCACCACGTCAGCCGGCGGGGAAGACCTAATGTGCATACGTGGCAATGCCGCACAGGCGCATTAGACCTCTCCATAGGAAAGCATTGAAAATGCTTTTCAATGCTTTCCTATGGGGATTTTAGTAGCAGTTCTAGTAGACAGCCACTAGAGGAGGAGTTAACCCTGCAAGGTAATTATTGCAGTTTATGAAAACTGCAATAAATTACAGATCCAGGGTTAATGGCAGTGGAAGTTGGCACCCAGACCACTCCAAAGGGCAGAAGTGGTCTGGGTGCCTGGGGTGTCCCTTTAATGCTTTTCCCACATAGAAATAGATAGACTAATGTACAGACCTCCTTTTTGGGTGCATGCTGGAATTTCAAAGTCTAGTTCTGGTATCCGTGTGGTTGCATAATCTGTTTTGACGACCTCACGGTTCAAATCCTGTGAAGGGACGCAAACAATAAGAACATATGTGAGATAATGCCTAAGCTAGGCGTCAACACTGAGAAACAACACTGGTACTTCCAGTGTTGGTTCTCATGATATACACAATAATGCAAACTGTCAGTCTGTCCCACCATGAGCATGTCTTAGCCTAAAATAATTCTCCAGCAAACACTACTTGAGGAATCCCACATACAATGTTTTTTTTTTTTTTTTAATATGAGTCAATATTCTCTTCTATTAAAAGGTTAACTCCACGCATCATAAGCACTACAGCACGCTACAGTGGTTATAATGCCAAGAGTACGCTGGACGACTGGGTCCCCTCCTGGCGCACAGGATCCTTGCAGGTCTGGTGATGTGGATTCGGCTTTTACAGAACTGCAGAAACCGGATGCCAATGTTATTTATTGGCTGAAAGAATCAGCTGACCTCTCTCATCCAATGAATGCAACACTGTGCCTAGAAATATGAAAATAACAAATTAGCCAAGTCAGAACTCTTGTTCCAGATTGCCTTAGGACACCACAATGACGTTGCTGGAGATACACCTATGGTAACAAAGGAGTTAAAGGAACACAAACATGTATTCCTGACTTTATAGTCTTAAAACCACTATCTTGACCCCCTGACCTCCCTAAAGATAGTAAAATCTTACTGGCATTCAAGTCTGCAGCTGCTGCCTATGATCTGTCTGCTTGGCTGACATCATCAGATGTGATTCTCTGAGCCAATCACAATGCTTTCATATTGGATTGGCTGAGACTGTCAAGGAGGCAGATCAGAGGCAGAGCCAGCACAAGCCAAACACAGTCCTGGCCAATCAGCACCTCCTCATAGAGATGTATTGAATCAATGCATCTCTAGGAGGAAAGTTCAGTGTCTGTATGCAGAGGGAGGAGACAATGGCAGTGCTGCATACTGTGCAGCACTGCACCAGGAATCACATCAAGCCGCCATCTGAGGAGTGGCCACTGGAGTAATCACTAGGCTGTAATGTAAACAGCATTTTTTTTCTAAAAAGACAGTGTTTACAAAGCCTGAAGGGAATGATTCTACTCACCTGAATAAATACAATAAGCTGTAGTTGTTCTGGTGACGCTAGTTTCCTAAAGCTCAGTATGTGCAGCATTTCATAGCAAAACGATGCACATACAGACTCCAGGCACCATGATGTGGTTATGGTCATGGTGCTTGGAGTAACTCTTTAATAAAAAAATAAAAAAAATAAAAAAGTGATTAAACCAAACATTACAATTAGCATTTCTACTCACTCACACCGACTCACCCGTTTGTTTCTAACACTCAGTGAGTATCGAACACCTTGCTCCTGAATACGACCAGCTGACTGGACTTCTGTGTTGCTCCAGGAACATTCCTCACATGTGAATGAACTGACAATGATCTCTTTGAAAAATGGAACTCTGGTAAGAAGAATTCGAGTCATCCCCTAGATTAAAGAAAGAGTAAAGCACATGACTGAATGAAATAAATACATTCCTCTGTTCACTCACATTATAGCACCATATCAATCACCAATAAATACTGTGATGGGAAGCATTTGTAAATTGCAGCACTGCAATATGAAGAATTAATACGCTTCAGGGAGAAAATCATGCAGACCCGTGCTCCCTATACTGCCCATTGGTCTTACCACCATGCCCGCTGCCTTCACCCTGGACTCCTCCTCTGTCCCTTGCTCCCCACCACGCCACCTCCTGCCTTGCAATCCCTACACTGCCCCTGCTCTCCCCACCAATATCCTGAGTGTCACCCTCTGCTGCTCCTATGTCCAATACCCCCCAAACTCCCCGCCATGCCCCAGGTGTCACCCTCTGCTCCTCCTATGCCCAATACCCCCCAAACTCCCCGCCATGCCCCAGGTGTCACCCTCTGCTCCTCCTATGCCCAATACCCCCTGAACTCCCCACCATGCCCCATGGTGTGATCCTCTGCTCCTCCTATGTCCAGTACCTCCTGAACTCCCCACCATGTTCCCTGGTGTCAACCTGGGCTCCTCCTCCATTGACATCTGCCCCTCCGCGCTCTCCATTATGCCACCTAAACACCCCATCATGCCCCATGTCCCCCCGAAAGCCCCACCATGCCATCTCTCTCTGAGCTCCCCATGCCCTCTCTCTCAGCTCCCCATGCCCTCTCTCTCAGCTCCCCATGCCCCCTCTCTCTCTCAGCTCCCCATGCCCCCTCTCTCTCTCTCTCTCAGCTCCCCATGCCCTCTCTCTCTCTCAGCTCCCATGCCTCTCTCAGCTCCCCATGCCCTCTCTCAGCTCCCCGCCCCCCTCTCTCTCTCTCTCTCTCCTCAGCTCCCCATGCCCCCTCTCTCTCTCTCTCCTCTCTCTCAGCTCCCCATGCCCTCTCTCTCTCTCAGCTCCCCATGCCCTCTCTCTCTCAGCCCCCATGCCCTCTCTCTCTCTCAGTCCCATGCCCTCTCTCTCTCTCAGCTCCCCATGCCCTCTCTCTCACCCCATCTCTGCCTCCCATGCCCTCTCTCTCCTGGGCTCCCCATGCTTCACTCTCTCTCTCTCTGGGCTCCACCATGCCCATCTCTCTCTCTGGGCTCCCCATGCCCCATACTCTCTCTCTCTCTCTATCATGCCCCACTCTCTCTCTGAGCTCCCACCATGCCCCATACTCTCTCTCCCAGGCTCCCCCCACCATGCCCCATTGCTCTCTCTCTCAGGCTCCCCACCATGCCCATGCTCTCTCTCTCTGTCCCCATGCCCCATACTCTCTCTCTGGGCTCCCATGCCCCCATGCTCTCACTCTCTCTCTGGGCTCCCATGCCCCTTCTCTCTCTCTCTCTGGGCTCCCCAATGCCCCATACTCTCTCTCTCTCTCTGAGCTCCCCATGCCCCATACTCTCTCTCTCTTTGAGCTCCCCATGCCCCATACTCTCTCTCTCTCTGAGCTCCCCATGCCTCATACTCTCTCTCTCTTTGAGCTCCCCATGCCCCATACTCTCTCTCTCTGAGCTCCCCATGCCCTCTTTCTCTCTCTCTCCATGCTCTGTCTCTCACGTTCTTGTAGCAGTTCATACAGAGGGATTCTCTCTCTCCCTCTCTCTCCCCATGCTCTGTATCTCACGTTCTTGTAGCAGTTCATACAGAGGGATTCTCTCTCCCTCTCTCTCCCCATGCTCTGTATCTCACGTTCTTGTAGCAGTTCATACAGAGGGATTCTATCTCTGTCTCTCTCTCTCTAGCTCCCCATGCCCTCTCTCTGTCTGTCTCTCTCTCTCTAGCTCCCCATGCTCTGTCTCTGTCTCTCATGTTCTTGTAGCAGTTCATACAGAGGGATTCTCTCTCTCTCTCTCTATCTCTCTGTATCTCACGTTCTTGTAGCAGTTCATACAGAGGGATTCTATCTGTCTGTCTCTCTCTCTCTGTGTGTCTCACGTTCTTGTAGCAGTTCATACAGAGGGATTCTATCTGTCTGTCTGTCTCTCTCTCTCTCTGTCTCTCACGTTCTTGTAGCAGTTCATACAGAGGGATTCTATCTGTCTGTCTGTCTCTCTCTCTCTCTCTCTGTCTCTCACGTTCTTGTAGCAGTTCATACAGAGGGATTCTTTCTCTCTCTCTCTGTCTCTCACGTTCTTGTAGCAGTTCATACAGAGGGATTCTCTCTCTCTCTCTCTCTCTCTCTCTCTCTCTAGCTCCCCATGCTCTGTCTCTCACGTTCTTGTAGCAGTTCATACAGAGGGATTATCTCTCTCTCTCTCTTTTTTCTAGCTCCCCATGCTCTGTCTCTCACGTTCTTGTAGCAGTTCATACAGAGGGATTATCTCTCTCTCTCTCTCTCTCTCTCTCTCTCTAGCTCCCCATGCTCTGTCTCTGCTCTTGTAGCAAGTTCATACAGAGGGATTATCTCTCTCTCTCTCTTTTCTAGCTCCCCATGCTCTGTCTCACGTTTTGTAGCAGTTCATAGAGGGATTACTCTCTCTAGCTCCCCATGCTCTGTCTCAGTAGCAGTTCATACAGAGGATTCTCTCTCTCTCTCTAGCTCCCATCCCTGTCTCTCACGATCTTGCAGCAGTCTCATACAGATTTATAGCAGTTCATACAGAGGATTCTATCTCTCTTCTGTCTGTCTCTCACGTTCTTGTAGCAGTTCATACAGAGGATTCTCTCTCTCTCTCTTCATCAACGCTTCTTGTAGCAGTTCATACAGAGGGATTCTCTCTTGTTCTCAATTCTTGTAGCAGTTCATACAGAGGGATTCTCTCTCTCTCTGTCTCTCACGTTCTAGCAGTTCATGTTTTCTCTCTCTCTTCCTCACGTTCTTGTAGCAGTTCATACAGAGGGATTCTCTTGTCTCCACGTTCTGTAGCAGTTCATACAGAGGGATTCTTCTCTTCTCTCTTCACCCCTGTACAGTTCTCTCTCTCTGTCTCTCACGTTCTTGTAGCAGTTCATACAGAGGGATTCTCTCTCTCTCTCTCACGTTCTTGTAGCAGTTCATACAGAGGGATTCTCTCTCTCTCTCTCTCTCACGTTCTTGTAGCAGTTCATACAGAGGGATTCTATCTCTCTCTCTCTCTCTCTGTCTCTCACGTTCTTGTAGCAGTTCATACAGAGGGATTCTATCTCTCTCTCTCTCTCTCTCTGTCTGTCTGTCTCTCACGTTCTTGTAGCAGTTCATACAGAGGGATTCTCTCTCTCTCTCTCTCTCTCTCTCTCTTTCTCCCCATGCTCTGTCTCTCACGTTCTTGTAGCAGTTCATACAGAGGGATTCTCTCTCTCTCTCTCTCCCCATGCTCTGTATCTCACGTTCTTGTAGCAGTTCATACAGAGGGACTCTCTCTCTCTCTCTCTCTCTCTCTCTCTCTCTCTCTCTCTCTCCCCATGCTCTGTCTCTCACGTTCTTGTAGCAGTTCATACAGAGGGATTCTATCTCTCTCTATCTCTCTCTCTCTCTCTCTCTCTCTCTGTCTCTCACGTTCTTGTAGCAGTTCATACAGAGGGATTCTCTCTCTCTCTCTCTCTCTCTCTCTCTCTCTGTCTCTCTCTCTCCCCATGCTCTGTATCTCACGTTCTTGTAGCAGTTCATACAGAGGGATTCTATCTCTGTCGGCTGCTGCTCCTCATCGTCAGCGCTGATCTCCCGGAACACGGGGGCCGTGTGGATAGCGGACATGGCGGTCTGCAGGCTCACTGACACCAACCGGCTCCCAGAAACCTCTCCTCGGTAACCACGTGCGGCCCACACCAGGAAACAGCTGTCACCAGGCCCCGCCCACAGCCCACTGCGACACCGACTAGAGCCAAGTGTCTATCCGCCCATCCACGTCACCGCGCATGCGCACTGCGCCGCTTCCTGGAACTCAGCGACCGCGGTCACGTGAGAGGGGGCGGAGCCACAAAGGAGTGTCAGTTTCAAAGCTTTATTGAAATGTAAACATTGACATTAAAGGGGTACTGTCAGACCCAGATTAAATACATCAGAATTTCACAAAGATGGACTCTGCATGAAATACTCATTATGACTGTGTTGAAATTTCATTAAAGAGAAATACACACCTGTCCTCTTTATATGTGTGTCCCAGGGTCCCCCGCCATACCCCACTGTCCTTTCAGATTACCAGGCCTGGTAAATAGCGATAGTCACTAAACACATGCACATATTTGATATGGTATCATATCTTAACAAAATATTTTTATTTTTTACGCAACTGCAAAATATGCTGAAATAAAAGGTTGTCTAAAAAAAATTGTGACATGGGTTCTACAATTTAGTTAGCCATGACAACATGATATACCACTTCAGTAGTACTATAATTAAAGGGAAACTAATGAGCTAGATTATCTTTTGGTGAGAGTCTAATGGAGCAAGGGAAGAAAGGTCCGTAGGAACTGTACCGCCCTTGAAAAGTCTTTAAGGTGGCGTCAAAGGTGTGAGTACAAACAGAGGATAGACGACATCTTTGGCTGAGCTTAGGGGCCTGGTCAGGAGATATGTGTGGGCAGACAAAAAGATGAGCCTCACCGCTGCATTAATTATAGACTACAACGGTGTCAAACGGTTTTGGTGTACTGATTATGTCCCTGCAGTCTAATTGCTCAATTTAAATCACTTTGGTTATGCAGCCCTAGTCACACCTCCATTGGGTGAGACTCATACTGTCTCTCTTGACACCAGTGATATATATTCTCTATAATATTTTATCAATAAATAATACTATTATACTGTAAAAAATATCTAAAATGTTAAAATAATTATGTTTTGCTTTACAAAAGTTAGACTTCCATAACTGTATGAGGCCAGAGTCTATCCGCAGTGTCCCTTTAAGCGTTTACGGGTTTTAAGAGGAGTGAGTGCATATAGCAGTGGTTATCAAACTGTACACATATGTACATCCATGAGAAAGTGTGATGGGATTCCAGCATGGTCAAAATTTAGTAGGCCAAAATCTCCATGTGGCATATGTGTATGTTGTGTCAGTTGGTTAGCTACATGTAGCTAGGATACTGTCATCAGTGTACTGAGCATGTGCAGGAATGCAGGAACTGAAATTGCACTTATTTCCTTTGTCTTGGATGAGCCATGTGGTTTGACTAGATGTACAAGTCTATAGTCTGCTCATTGATTGGTTAAAGGTATATGTGGGTGTAGCTATTAATGGGAGGAGTTATAGTGCTATATAAGGAATGTACACTATGTGTTGGTCTCTCAGAATGTTGGAACAGGAGTTCATCTGAGACCCGATCGGTAATGTGAATAAAGGCCTGTTACTTCCTGAAGACCTGTGTCCAATATTTCTGTGTTTGGCTTCTGCATGCTTACACTGCAACATTTCTGGTGCAATTGGGCCGGGAACCTCATCGCACGGAAGCTGGCACAGAGATTTGAGACGGTAAACTTTTACCAAACCTTCTACGCTACAATCCTGGACTTCTACTGCGTGGACCTCCTTTCGTCTCGGCGCCACTGGCCTTTTGTCCAGGAGATCATCGGCTTCTGCGCAGTGAGTCCCGGATTGTTCCGTCTATGAGTGAACCCAGGTCCAGTAATTAACAGGTGAGATTGATACCGTTAGAGCGGTAGACCCACAAGGGGTTTTATATTTGGAACCGGTTATTGGTATTGGCCCCTTCAGTAGAAGGAAGAAGTGAAAGCGCAACACTTATCTGGAAATTAGACGCTCTGTAGTCAGCCCGTCTAATATAGGTGGTTTGGGTCAGACTGAGTTCTGGTGTAAATAGCTCATGTCGGACACCGGTGTCCTGTCTTGACTAGCGTATCTAGGGTGTAAATTTTGTTCGCTAGGTCGGGGGGACCGGGAGACTAGCATACTCTGTTGTATATTATAGTTTGCTAGATTTCACCCTATCTTAACTAAGTGTGCTCTGTTGTAAATCCAGCCACTAGCTTATTGATAGTTTAATAGACTAGCTGGGTACTGTGTAAATTCTGCCCTCTAGTTCGCTATACGTGGTGTCTGGGCAGCGAAGAACTTATCGAATCTCTGGTGTATAAATAGATCGAAAGCTCTCGAGGTGCTGGCCAGTTAGAATAGTTGGGATTATTGTAAATGTTGTTAAATATATTGTAGTTGGTGAATTGGTTAACTTGTATGTCCTACTAGAAAGTTAGAGCTCTGCTGTCTAGTGGGAGTGTAAATTGTGTGTATAACTGTAAAATAGCGCACGGTACCATAACTACTGACATGTACCATAACCACTGACATTGTGTAAAAATTACTAACAATTGCTGTTTTATGTTATATGTATAATACCATAACTGTTACTAACTGATCTGTGACTTTAAAACTGTATTATAACCACTTACTAACTGTACCATAACCACTGACTGTAAAGATGAGGTTACTAGAATGTGATATAGTTGGTTAGTCAAGAGTTGATTTATAGTACGGATAATTGTAGAGATGAATTTGTTGAAATGTTATGTGATCGGTTAGTTTATATGGATTAATAGCGTGGATAGTTGTATGGTTTGAATAATAGTTACATTGATAAGTGTATAGTCTTTGGTGGGTTTTTGATTTAATTTTGTGTGTGCGACGTCGTGATATTGTTGAGCATGTGAGGATCCTGTGTGTGTGTTTGGGCCTAGTGACTGCGCAATGTGTTGCTGGTGATAAGGAGATTGGTGTGACTGTTGAAACTGTGTGTATATTTGTACAGCTTTTTGAATCAGATGCTCTGTTGAAATAATCTTCTGATTCACTAGGCTTTGTCTTGTATGTTAAAAAAAAAAAAGTAGGGAGTAGCCTGTCCTGGTGGCCGCATGGCCTCCATGTAGCAGTCTTCACTTAAATTTAGTGCAGGGTGTACATGTGGCTGTAACTAGTAGGCTGGAATTCTATGATCAGTTTCTATATATTGACTGTTGGAAACTGATTGTTGCCTTGGTGAATTAAACTGTGTCATATGGGAAACAATGTAGCCATATGGTGGTCAGAACTAAGGACTTAATTACAACTGCTTTGGACATCCCCTCCCCCCTGGCATCTGATTACCAACCCCCCAAACATCCTCCAGAGCCAGATTAGCCACGCCCATTTCTGGCTGGTATAATCAGTATTTGCACTCCCCCTGCTCTACTGTCCCCGCCTACCCACATACCTATCTGTTCCTGTGTTTCAAACTCTTGTATTTCTGTACTACCCCTCCCCCTAATCAATGATCAATGGTATCAGATGGTATATTGGTCTTTATTTTAGTTACTGGATGGGCCCCTCCCAGCTTTGTCCAAAATGTCCCCTTTTACTAAACTACAAACTGAAATGTTTAATTTACCTTAGAACTAAAGATTTAATCAAGCCTAGATATCAGGGTGGACATTGATTAAAATAAGTAATAATAAAATAGGACATAATTAATTAAAGTCTATTTGTTTCATTTGACTTTAGGGAGGCACTCTAGGGCCACCTACTGGCCATCTTCGGGAGTTACATTGATAATACATTGTTTATAACAGATAGATGTAGGATTGCTTACCTATTTTAATATATTTATTGCTATAAGGTTTTATTTTATGTATAAATATATTAAAAGTTGAGTTTTCTTATTAGACCCATAAAGATTATTTTGATACAATTACCCTCTGGTGACACCTACTGGTAGGTTTTTGGTTTAACACTTTAAAAAAAAACGTTTTTTCATCCACCAAATGCTGACTAATAAAATTAGCTCACCCCCTTACACTTATCTTACTACTCCTAGACTGGAACCTATTATTGGGCAGCCTTGCCGAAGTCCCATATTAGACACTGCTTGAGTCAAATAGGTTGTATACTCCCTTTAATCCAGAGGCCCCTGAAAACTTCCGAATGATAGACTCAGCATTTGTCAGCCAGGCCCAAGGTGATAGTAAAAGGAAATTACAGAAATTAGAGGGATTTGTAGGGATGTCCATAATACAGCTAATGGAGATTGCAAATACAGTATATATGAATAGGGAGACGGAGGAAGAACGTAAAATGAGGAAAAAGGCAGATATGCTAGCGGTAGCTATCTTAAGTGTAGAAAGACAGGGAAGTGAATAGAGGAGACGAGAATAGGCTGAGCAAGGGACTTTAAGTAGGAATTAATGTGCGTATTGTAGAAAGGAGGGACATTGGAAGAGTGAGTGTCCACAGAGAGAGTAGTATGAAGGTGATAGACAAGGAGAGAGAAGGGTATGAGGAGGTTATAATGGTAGTTATAGAGTAAGAGGAAGTTTTAGAGGGAATGATGGGAATAGTAGAGGAAGTGTTCAAGGAGACAGATACTATCCACCCACGCAGAGACCTAGAGAAAGAGAGGATAGAGATTTTGTGGGTCTGGCTGACACTATCATGGAAGACTATTGATACCGACTGGGCTCCATCCCACTTGGTCGAGCGGAGCCTATGGTCGATGTAGCAATAGGGGGAAAGAGAAGTTCTTTCATGATCGACACAGGTGCTGAACATTCTGTGGTGACTAAGATGGTGGCTCCGCCTTCGGGGAAGACTATAACTGTGATAGGAGCTACTGGGAGAAGTGCAGCTAGACCGGTTCTTAAGAGTCGCACTTGTATTCTGGGAGGCCATGTGGTGAAGCATTAGTTCCTATATATGCCAGAGTGTCCGATTCGACTTTTAGGACGAGATCTATTATCAAAGCTTTAAGCTCAGATAACCTTTTACCTAATGGATTAACATCTCTGAAGTTTAAGGGATTACCAGGCATAATGGTGATATCGGTGCCAAGGGAAGAAGAATGACGCTTCTATTCCATAGTGACAAGTGTTAACCCTAAGAGTGATGAATCCTTATTTGACATTCCAGGAGTATGGGAAGAAAAT